TTATATAGGGACTGCAAGGGGCTGCTAGTATATAGTGATGACTCCGACAGCTACAATACTCGGTTGCACCCGGCGGGGTTGCCAGAGGGATCGAGTCTTGACATTACGCCAGTGGTACTGCTTCGACAACTCACTGATGTTCATAAACTGCACGATAGACTGAGGCAGCCCGCATGTAGCATCATCCAAACCCCGGATGTGGGCTGAGGGCTCTCTGAGAGCAGCACACGATGTCTGCGTTCGACATGTCGTTGAAGCCTTGACCATGCCAGGTTTAGTAACAATAAGAAGAAAGCAGGTAATAGGTTATAGTAGCACAAGTAAATAGTACTGCAACAATACGCGTTCTGGTAGTAAGACGCATTCACAATAGCAACCATGGCCAACAATGAGTACCAGGCTGGGTGATGCTGCTACTTGGAGGGTCGGGGGACTTAGTAAGTAGGTAGTAAGTACGTAGACTTATAAGTACCCGAAAAGGGACCCTAATTGGGGTTATGGTACTTATAAGTCCCCAAAATAACCAGTTACTAAGTCCCCCGACCCTCCAAGTAACACACGTAGTAACATCACCTTGCAGACCGGTGCTGCGCACATGGCCTCTGACCTCAACCCGTGATCTGGCTAAGCCCTAAACCAACGCATATAGCACAACCCAAAACCTTATTCGAATTTTTAAAGCCCCCATATTGCGCTGACCAGATGGCGGCCTCGTAGAATAAGAGTCCTGGCTTATCCAGCCACGGTGCTGAATTCGCATTCGTCCCGACTCTTTCAAGCACCTCAATCCTGATGCATTTCTTGAAGGAAGTCTCTCGAAAGTGCCTCTCAGTGACCGGGATGCTAAGACCTGAATCCTAAGCAATCTCCAAACTGTTTGACAAGCCCGGTTCAAGCACGATGAAATCCACCGGATGATGTATGCATAAACTCAAGCTCAGGATTTTGATGTGGACACGTGAAATTAGAGCCTGAAGACTGCAGCTTGCATCCAAAGTCACATTTGACCTGGCACTGAGCCATCTTCCTCACAGCATGAATTGTGTTCGCGTTTCTCCAGAGCATCAGGTAGAAAGTGTTGTTTACTGGGAGGTACAGGTCACATCTTCCGAATGCCATGCGCCACTGGACAGAGAAGGCTATTAAACCCTAAACCCTAAACCGTCTGTGGCTTCTCGAGAGAAGATCGAACATCGTGATGGAGGATCCTGAAACCCTTCTGCAACAAACGATGTCATTGTTTTGGGGGTTCGCGAAAATTGGAGCTGCGAACATTTGTGCTGTTCCCACTCAGTTTCCAGCGTCACTCTTCTCTTTATTTCGCCCGGAGTCGTTGGTCTTTCAGGATCCTAAACCCTAAACCCGTGGCTCCCGATAGGGTTTAGGGTTTAGGGGCTTAGGGGTTTTGGCAGCACAATCACTCTGAGCTCAAACCCTGTGCATGTCCACACCCCAGGGTCTATAGGGTTTAGGGTTTTAAGGGCTTAGGGGTTTAGGGTTTAGGGGACCAGGGCCCTTCTAGCCGATAAGTGTGCTACTGCGGCCTCCCTGGGCCACCATCTACGCACGAGGACATAGGGGCCCTGATTATTAGAATAGGGTTTGGAGGCCCATGATACGGTACTTTTACTAATAAGCCCCCCAAAATAATACTTGGTAGTTATTTAGGCCCCAAAATGCTGCCAGTAGCCTCGACAAAATGACTGGGATCCTGAAGTCATCCTCTAAGATACCGGCAGACAGCATAAGGCTTCAACCTTTCCACGGATTTAAGCCTGTGAGTAGAATGCAGAGCGTGAGACCGTGGTCGGGGGAATAGGTTGCGTTCTTTCTGACATTTTGCTGCCGTGGATTTGGCTGGATACTTTCTGAAATTTTGCCTCCCCGTGAATAGCTCTAGACGAAGGGCGTGCCAAGCTCATGGCTCCATTTCTGAATCCAGAGACAGCGGTACAGCACAGCATCCAAGGCCTAATGTAGGGCACCCTGAGATGGAGTCTCTCTGTTTAGCCAAACCAAGCGGCTTCTCTGCCGGGAGCATGAGAAGTTCCACACGCTTCTGGGTGTCTTGGAGCGAGTTCATGAAGGTCTTGAGGTAATCCTGCGAAGCGATCCATTATTACCAGTATTATTGCTACCAGTATCATGAATAATCCTTATTACTATTATTGTTAATATTAATATCACTATTAGGGAAGAAGAGCGGGGCAGCGATCCGGCTCGTTGGGCTTCAGCTTTGTTCAGACTTTCGAGAGCTCTGAACGAACTGGTCTCGAAAGAAACACAGCAAGACCAAATTGAGCTGTGGGGTTATGAGGGCTGGACCATGGCGATCCGTGCCGTCCAACTCTGGCGGCCACACGGAAGGCACAGACCAAGCCCTTGCTCACATGGTAGCCGATTTCATTGAAGATGCACCGCCGTCATGTGAGCAACCAGCGAATAGAGTTTCAACAAGCACCACGATCAGAGTTGTTGTTATTGTTGCTGCTGCTGCTGGTGTTGCTGCTGGTGCTGTGGAAGTAATTTCTGTTCTTGTCTCTGGTATTGCCCTGTTTTTCTCTCAATCCGGCCGGCAAAATCTATCGACCCAAGCCACGAGTCCTGAGAGTGAACGTTGAAGATATGAGGGTGCGTGACCGTCCGACGCTCGCTTTGTGGTCTGTGAAACGAGGCTGTCGTAACCGACTTAAACCTGCAACTACAAGCCCATCGGAGCAACCCTACTTTAACGAACGCCATCTAAACCCTTTTTTTCAGCAGGCCTCGCTGTCCAGCAGCCCGGTTACAGCAAGAGCCCCCCCCCCGGTTCCCCCGCTTCCGCAAAGCAAGGAGAGGAGTCGAGCTAAACCCTAAACCCTCAACCCGTGACCGACTTCACTCCCTCACTGTCCTGTTCGGGCTGCCTGACGCTGTCAGTCCCTCACCCCGGCAGCGAAAATGATTCTTGAACCTTCTTGCGGCACTGAAATTCCAATCTATCATCAACATCCTCAGGAACCGTGTCGTCCGCGACCTCTCTAAATCCTTTACCTGAAAGCCCAAGCGTCCTCAGCCATACTTGACTTTCGAAGCTGCAGGAACCCCTGCGGAAAGGACAGCCGGGCTGTTGTAACTACGAAGAAGTTTCGGGTCTGTAGTAAGCTATCCCTTTAACTCCCATTCCAAGTTCTTTCACACCCCGGAATAAGAATGCAGCCTATTCCTTTTCCCGTTTCAGGTAAGCTATCCCTTGCACTTCCATTCCAAGTTCATCCTATTCCTTTTACCCCCCTATTCTAAACCCATTACCTTAAACCCTAGACCCTAAATTCAACCTCGAATACGAATATCCCGGTGAAGGTTTGCTGAGGCTCCCTCCGATCTAGCAGCTTTCCGTGGCGTGCAGAAAGGGGATCTCCGTTTGGGGCTTAGGATGTAGGGTTGTCCAGGACTTTCCAAAAATAGGGGACCCTAATAGAGCACCCTAAATAATAGGATCCTTATTAGAAGGACCCCAAAATAATGTACCCCTAGATATTTTCGGAAACTCCCATCTATGTACAAGGTACTACAGCCCAAGGGGTCTTCCCGAGTTGTGCAACTTTCCTACGAAGAGTGCAGAGCAAAGTGTGCAAATCGAGCTTCCACAAGGCGGCACTGCAAAGCTGCGGAAGCAATGGAGACTCTCATCCAAACCACGACTGACCTGCCTGTTCTGATATCCTTTGTTTGCGCAAAGACAAACGCCAGGCAGGCTACACTACACAGAACCCTAAACCCTAAACCCTTGATACTTCAATACTTCCTGGAGGTTTACTAGCACCCGGTCCGATCTGGCCATTGCTCTCAAAACCCCAAAAATAAGACCCCGATTGTTTTAGTAGGATCCCTTCTATAAAAAACCCAAAATAAGACCCTTATTTTTATAGAAGGATCCCTTCTATAAAAACCCCAAAATAAGACCACCATTTTTATAGTAGGATCCCTTCTATAGACCCCAAAATAAGACCCCTATTTTTATAGTAGGATCCCTTCTACAAACAACCCAAAATAAGACTCCTATTTTTCGAAAACTCCCAACTTGATGTGCTGCAGCAGCCCCGGAGACGGACCGCCTCGGTACCCTGCGCCGTTGGTGTGCTTCTGTCTTTCCGCGCGCTGCGGGCCAAAATTGCTGCAGATATGGTCCGAGTGCCGGTATACAACGCCTGTGCAGATACCAGTAGCAGTGCCGAGTAGCACATACGAGCGATGGTAGAGCACATCATCGCATCACTTGGCAAGTCCTACTTCCGTAAGCCTTGCTGGACGAGCGACGGCAGCTTCTTTCACATCCATGCTTATCGTGCCCTTCGAGACTGACGTCTAGCTACCCCTTTGCCGCCGCAATGCTTGTTCTGAACGCCTTTTAACAGTCGGCATGTCGGCATGCAATGCAGAATCCGTGAGTCGGAATGCAACCGGAAATTATCTTGTCGTTGACGAACAGACCCAGAGAACTAACGTGCCACTAGCTTCAAGACATATACCCTGCCCCGATTTACTGCGGGCTTCAGAACACTACGAGTCATGCGAGTTTGAACAGCTTGGACTGAGGCTAACGGTTCAGTTCAGCTTCAGTTTAGGGTCTTAGGGCTAGGGTTTAGGGTTTGGGGCTGCAGTTTGCATGACTCGAATGTAGAAGGTAAGCCTTCCCTTAACCCCACGTAACCTACCTTTTTAAGGACTTATATAAATAAATCATATTAGGGAACCCTAAAAAGGTAGGCTCCTTAGGGTCCAGGTCTACATTGGACAAGGCCACCGTGGTCTTCACCCGAAAGACTCCCATGGTGCTGGAGCCTCCCAGACTCCAACCCTACTTAAAGGATCACGGGACCTAGTAATTGGGGTCATAAGTAAGGTAACTAGGGCTATAATTACTTATATATATATATATATATAGAACCCCAAGAAAGGTAGATATAACCCTACTTACTAAGTCCCATGATCCTCCAAGTGCTAGATGAGGTCTCGGCCCATATCGCGGCTGCCCCAGTTGGCACCTGAGCATGCTTGGATTGCTGCCCATCTACTCTCGGCGCCTTAAGTTTTTACATGGCCAATGTCCCCAAAATGACGAACTGACACAGTCAGACTTGGGGTGGATCTGTTTCGCAATGTGTCGAAAGCACCGAGCGAACGCCAAACCGACTGCTTGAGTGCTGACCCGTATCTGCATCGTGGAACTTGCCCAGAAGAATAGGAAGAGAGGGACAATCCTAAAGCCCACACGCACGGCCGCGGTAAATGCTCGAATCCCTGGCGAACCTCGCTTCGGAGTTTGGCTTGCAAGAGTCTCGCTTCCATGGTGGCTTGTGTGAAGACTATCTATATAAGGGTAGTATAAGAGTATAGAGGGCCCCTGAATAATTAGAGTAGGGTTCCTGTAGAGGGATCTTAAAAGGATCCTATAAGGGTTATCATCCAATTAACACCCGAACCCCAAAACGGCAAGTTCAGTTGGTGATTCTCCAATGAATCTCTTGTTCCGCTCGGGCGCCAAAGCTGCTGCCACCCTTGCCGCCGGCACCACGACCTGCGTGCGACAGGTTTGAATCAAACACCACACACTAAACCATGAGAGTCCAAGACCTTTAGCCTTCAATCTTTGGGAGTTTTACTGGGCATCAACATCTGAAAAGCTTACCAAAACCGTAGCCAACAAGAGTGGATTTGGCAGTTCGGGCCCGTTCTGCGCGACTAGGGTTTTGGGGTATACTATACTGCTATTATAACAAGGAGCCCTAATTTTATTGGCATATAATTATTTAGGCTTCTATAGTAATCCGAAGACCCCCTCTTTGACTTCGTCGGTAAAGAAACCACTTTGGTCACTAGTTGTAGCTAAGCCTTGCGTATGACGTTAGTTGAGGAGGCGGATCCAAAATTCAATAGTATAGTATCCTTATTATAGTAGCCCTTATGATAGAAACCGTTATAGACCCCCTTAGAAGGAACCCTAGGAACCCTGTCACCCTAGTCGCGGTTCTTCTTCGTTCTCGTCTCTAGAGCCCGAGCAAGAAGCAGCAAAGAGGGCCCAACGGGTGGGATGAAGGTTGGTAAGGTTTAGGGTTTAGGGGCTTGGGTTTGGGTGTTTAGGGTTTAGGGGTTTAGGGTACTATGGTGGCTAATTTCAACTCAGAGCCTTTATGAAAAGGATCCTTTCTTTCAAACCTACCTACAGTCATCTCACCCGTTAAGGCGCCAGATCACCCGGGCGTGAGAGCGGGGAGGGGTCTGCCTTTGAAGCTCGAACTGGCGTGCAGGGGCTCTAGATGCCAGGCTAGGTTTCTAGTGACGCTCTTTCACTGCGGATCCGGGGACATCAAAACTCTAACCCCCAAAGCTCTATATACTATAAACTCTAAAGCAAGCACTCACCGAGCTGACTTGAGAGCGTTTCTTTTTTGCCCGCCAGACTCTGCATAACCGAACAGGACATGACGAACCCTGGCTTCCTTGGCCCTACGCGTGAGTTAAACCGGGCATAGTGCAATAAACACCTTTTGTAACCGGGCCGAGCAGGACACAGCAAGTTACATATACATATAACATGAAGATGTTGATGTACAGAGGGTGTAGATGTGCATGTGGATAAAGCAGAGTATTACCAACCGGCATGCTGACGCATTTTGATCCCAGCATCATCCATCCTTCGCGTGTCAACCAGTGCAGATCCCAGAACACTCCCGGGGCCTGCGTTGTGCCGGACTCACGACAAACTATTGCAGACATGGGCCAGGCCCAATTCAGAAGCATTGGAAGTTGGAACTGAGCATATTCGCATCAGAACGACACTTAGTCGCCAGAAATGAAACAAAACCTGGTAGAGCCGTACATTCAACTCACATAAGTATAAACTCTATAAACCCATATAGACCCCTATTCTACGCATTTCATGGATGGCAGTCACGGAAGTGTTCGTGATAGGAGACCCAGGGGATCTCCCCACTCAGAAACAGGAGCTTAGGCTTGCGAGGAGTGCCGTGCCAGCGAAATTGCCCTGCCTCTGACAGCAACACTACTCGGAGAAAATACTCCTAGTAGTAGTAGTAGTAGTAGTAGTAGTAGTAGTAGTAGTAGTAGTAGTAGTAGTAGTAGTAGTAGTAGTAGTAGTAGTAGTAGTAGTAGTAGTAGTAGTAGTAGTAGTAGTAGTAGTAGTAGTAGTAGTAGTAGTAGTAGTAGTAGCAGTAGTAGTAGTAGTAGTAGCAGACGTCGTCGTCGCCGTCGAAGTAGTAGTAATAGTGGTAGTAACAACAAGAGTTGTAATGGTTCCAATACTTGTACGAATGGCAAGAATCGCAATAGTTCTGGTGCTTGGCCATTTCAGGGTTTGGGGATTTGCGGGCTGATGGAGGCTTCGGCTTCCTTTGTGTGGGGTCAGACGGCGTTAAGACAAAGACGGGCGGGTTGAAAGATGTGTAGATCAGTTTTATTACGGTTATTGTGGTCATTATTACCATTACTGCTACTAGGCTCGATGCCAAACCCTCCCTAAACCGGACAAGCACAACCATCTTCGTTTGTCTCCTCCCCAACCTGTCCTAGCTAAGCTATTTCACGGGCCGGAACTAAGTGCAATAAGCCCTAATACAAGGACTTGGCAATCGACAACCGCACTTTGGTCTATTTGTAATAGAAAAATTTTACAGGAATGATTACACAGGCATATATTATTCCTAATTATCGCAACCTCCATAGTAGTTAATCCCTGCGCCGAGTGTGTTCACTCCATCGCAATTCAGCTCGGCATCCGAACCCAGGCCCGGTCAAAGCTTTTGCTGCTCCCGGGCAGAGTGCAAGGCAGACTTTGCACAGAGTCGGGTTTGCGCGCGAGACTGGGGGGATCGGGCTGGGGTGGTTGATTTGTTTGGAGGTAGTTCGGGTCGCAGCAAACAATTGCAAAAGGCAGCAGCTGCGAAAGAGCAGGCGAAATGAGGCTAAACCAACTTGTTTGCAGATTTTGTGCATTGCAGCTACAGCTACTAATCAGCTGGCTATCGCCCACATAAGACTTGCAAGCATCCTACTCTTCAAACAAAGCTCCAAGACAACTTGATGTTACTTGTGGAGTTCCAGTTTCTGCAGGTCCTGGGAACCATGCAAACAACGCCTCACCAGAGGTCCGTGCATACCGGGAGTTCTCTCAACACCGTCATTCCACGTAATGATCACAAACAAGGCCAAGCAAAGCACAGCAAGAGACGAAAGCAAAAGGAGGCGGGGCCGAGCTTTGATACACCTACGATAACCTCCCACAAGTACATCACCTGGAGAGGCAGGAGACGTGGCACGCAAATCCCGCTGCGTGCCTCTGCACCTGTGGGATCGGCGGGCATTTTCGGAATTTCGCAAATCTCTGCTGCACAGATTGGTACGTTCCGGTGACGAAGTTCCAAGCTCGACGTTGGGAGGGGAGGGTGGGGACAATTCACGATGACATCTTCGTCTGGTACGTGCGAGTGGACTGACTAAATTTCAAGCCATGCTTTGACTGCGAGTATGCAAGAAGGCGGGGTTCAAGTTTGCCGAAAGTCGATTCAGAGCGTGCAGCAGCATTTTGATGTCGCAGCATGGGGGCATGAAGCAGCCTTCAAACGCCCTCAACCCTGATTGCAAGCACTCCGTTTCTGATCCCAGGGGTGTGTAGCCCATGGCGCAGCCATACATGTCATAACAAAGAAGCAAGACTGAAACATGCCCATATCTGATAGCACCGTCATTGATGACTTGTCAGGGTGGCCTTCAAACGCGGCGTGAAACCAATGAAAAGCAGCAGCACAAACTTCAAACTGTGAAAGTGGGTCATCAAGATTCAAACAGTTTTGAAACTGCATACATGAATCTGTATTAGGGCACCCCGAATGCAACAGCCACCCTGCAGTGGGGGTGAAACGATCCAGCGAGCAAAAGCTCTGAATGTCCTGCCGCTAGCTGATGGCACGCCCAGCTTCCGAAGAATGCCCTTCTCCCATGACGCTGCCCCTAAACTGCGTCTTGATTTGTACTTAACCGTACGTACTCTCTTCATGATGCGATCTCATGCTTAGTATGAAGTGTCTAGCCTAGATGAACCGACAAGTGGGAGGCATCCAAAGGAAGGGAGACTGAAAGAAGCTCATTCCACGGGATAGTAACCTGCAGGCTCAGGAGCTGGGTTCTTGTTCCGGACCTTCAAGCTACCACCACTACGGTTGATGATATAAATCCTGCATGACCTTAAGGACCCTAAACTATGGGAATAATGGTATATTCCTTATTATGGGTAATGCAGGATTTATACCATCAACAGTATCACGAGATGTACAGAAGTTGATTCTTTCTTGATCATGGTGGCTCAGACTAAACCGGTTTCGGGGCATGATAAGTCCAACCGTCCAGGACCAACCTAAGTAGCAGGACTTGATGTGCCCATCTGGTTGAGCTGTGCTTTGTAGTTGCATGCAGAGGCAGAGCAGGATAGTTCATGAAATAGCAGTACCCAAAACCAGCAGCAAAGACACTGGATGAAGTACAGACCCAACAGGAGTCCTGAAAATCTACAAGCATTGCAAGACTTAGACGGTGAGATGTCTTTCCTGGTTTTGCCGTCAGGGGAAAGGCAGGCTCAAAAACAGAGCTGTGCAAATAGAGTGTGCATGGTTTCGAGCCTTAGATAATGTGTTCGACTCGCATTCAATTTCGAGGTGCATGCGTAAGACGTGTACATTGGCTTGTGTATGGTTGCGACGGTTGCTCTGCTGTCTTGTTTATGGCTCTTATGCATCAAGACCCTGCGGTTCCGGAGCCATGTATGCAAGCATACTATGCAAAGTTCTGCAGCTTGTGCAGTTTCTGCCCGATGCCCGACCCCAAGACCCGCTCCCCGATGCAGCCGGAGTTGCTGATGACTCCGACCATCAGATATACCATCATCATCATGGCCTTTGGGTTATCTGGCTCGTCGGGCATCGCTGCTCTCGCTTGGGACTGGGGCAGCGGACACTGAGGCTTGCGTCTAGACTGGGCTTCGGCTTTTGAAAGCATGCGGAAAAGGCTTGCCACTAGTCTCAAACATACTACTACTACTACTACTACTACTACTACTACTACTACTGCTCCTACGACTACTAGTACTACTCCTACTACTCCTACTACTACTACTACTACTACTACTACTACTACTACTACTACTACTCCTAGTACTCCTAGTACTCCTAGTACTCCTAGTACTCCTACTCCTACTCCTACTCCTACTCCTACTCCTACTCCTACTCCTACTCCTACTACTACTACTACTACTACTACTACTACTACTACTACTACTACTACTACTACTACTACTACTACTACTACTACTACTACTACTACTACTACTACTACTACTACTACTACTACTACTACTACTACTACTACTACTGCTACTACACCTACTACTACTACTACTACTACTACTACTACTACTGCTACTACTGCTACTACTACAACTACTACATTACAACTACTGCTACTGCTACTGCTACTGCTACTGCTACTGCTACTGCTACTACTTATAAT